ATGAAAATTGTCACAAAGTTCCATCCCTAGATGGAGGGGCCTGTAGGGAAGTCTTTCTGTCCTGTCCTATGGCAATTACAGAAAGTTGAATCTTGCTCCAACTTCACAGGAAAGCCCCCGCAAGGAAATGATTCCATTTTCTATTGAAAATTGCTGCTTTTGTAATAACCCTCTGTCAGCTGTAACTTCTGATAGGTATCACCCAGGTGTCTTTACTGTTCATGTCACATGTTAACACGTAGTTTTAAAAAGATGAGGCTTTTTGATCCCCTCAAGATTGACAGCCTCGGAAACCCTAGACAGCGTGTTCCGAGTTGGATTGACTCAATGGCAGTGAGTTTTGGGAATTATGTGATTGCTAATTGAGAACTACTTTGTTACAAGAAGATAGCTGTGCTTTTGAATTTTTCCCAAATATTAAACTTGAATGTGAAATATCCTCAAACATGGAAATATATGTGTTGTCTGAAAGAGCTCAGAGTGTACAGATTCGGGCCTTGTTGATAAGATCTGTGACCACAAATGTTTCTGACCTGGCACTTGCCTTGCTTCTGAAAGCTTGTTCCTAAAGGTTCCTTCCTTCAAGCACAAACTTTCTTGGAAGGGACATTATTCTTAAAGACCAGCGTTGAAAGAGTTGTTCTGTACTTATGGTTGTATTTCATTTTCTTTTAAAAAATGTATGTCACTATGTTGTTAAGTGCCGTCCAGTCTGCTCCAACTCATGTTGTTGTTGTTAAGTGCCGTAGAGTTTGTTCTGACCCATAGCGACCCTGAATAGGGTTTCCAAGGAGCAGCTGGTGAGTTTGAACTGGTGACCTTGTAGTTCAAACCACCTTTGCAGTCCAGTGCATTAACTCACAGCGCCACCAACTCATAGTCAGGACCCTGTATAGGGTTTCTGAGAAGTGGCTGGTGGGTTTAAACCACCACTTTGCAGTTCAAATTGACCTTGCCGTCAGTCCAGTACTTATCCTACAGTGTTACACCGGGACTCCATAGTCCCTATAGAAACTTTATGTTGTGGCTTTTTTTTTTTCAGTAAAGGAAAAACATACCCCTGAGACAGTGGTGCTGTAGAATAAGCACTTAGCCGCAAGGTCGGCAGTTCAAACCCACCGGTCACTTCTTGGAAACCCTAAACAGGGTTGCTGTGAGTCAGAACCAGCTTGACTGCATTTAACAAGACAGTGACTCAGTATGTTATATTATGACTCTGTTAAGTTTTTGCAAATTGAGTTGTCTACTATGTAAATGTAGTAAGGATCCTGTTTGTGTTTGCTTTAAATTGGCAAGTATTTCCTCATGTTCTTCATCTTCCTGTTTTAATTGATATGTAATGTTTTATCCATTGAACCTTTCTTAATTTATTTTACTGGGTATCTATTTTTGGATATTTTGTTTCCAGTTGTTATTACAAATAATGCTATTGGAGTATTCTCCAGATAGGTTTCCTTTTAAACCTACTTAATAACTGGGATGTCTTCCCAAGTTTATATTTTTAAATTCCACCCCAACTTAATCCCCCCCACCCCCCTGGAAAAACAGAGTAACTTACAAGTTTCAATATTGAAGACTGAATTTAAAAAAAAAAAATGAAGTCTTTGACACCTTTAATCTTTTTATTTTTCATTATTTATTTATCCAGTTGTGAAGATATCTGTTTTCTTTACACTGAAGTGCAATCCATACTGAAGGCTGTGGTCTTTAATATTCATAAGCATGTACTGTAAGTCCTCTTCATTTCCATCAAGCAAAGTTGTATTATATGAAGATTATATTATATAATACATCCACGTATCACGGGTTGTTAAGGATTCTTCCTCCAATCCTGATGCCACATTCTTTTTCATGTAATCCAGTTTCTCAGATTATTTTTTCAGCATACAGATTGAATAAATTTGGTGAAAGAATGCAACCCTGGCACACACCTTTTCCTGATTTTAAGCCATTGCATATCCCCTTACTCTGTTCTAACAACTGCAGCTTGGTCTATATCAGGTTCCTCATAAACACAATTAAGTGTTCTGGAATACCTATTCTTCGCAATATTATCCATAGTTTGTCATGATCCACACAGTAGAAAGCCTTTGCATAATCAATAAAGCACAAGTTAACATCTTTCTGGTATCCTCCACTTTCAGTCAAGATCCATCTGACATTTTTTTGTTTGTTTCCAACTTCACATTCCGATTACCAGTAATTATTAATGCATCTTGATTGCATGTTTGATCAATTTCAGACTGAAGAAGCTCGTAGATTTCTTCAATTTCATCAACACTGGCTTTAGTTATTGGTGCATAAACCATTTGAATAATAGTAATATTAGTAGTATTAATGGGTCTTCCTTATAGGCATATGGATATTATACTATCACAGACAGCATTGTACATCAGGATAGATCTTGAAATGTTCTTTTGAAGATGAATTCCTCTTTAACTTGATGTTTCCAGCAGTGTAAACCATGATTGTCAGATTCACAATAGTCAATATCAGCCCATTTTAGCTTACTAATGCCTACGATATCAATCTTTATGTGTTGCATTTCATTTTTGACAACTTCCAATTTTCTTAGATTCATAGTTTGTTCACTCCAGGTTCTAACTATTAATGTGCATTTACCACAGTTTCTTCTCATTTTGTGTTCTGCCCCATCAGCAAATGAAGGTCCTGAAAGTTTTACTCCATTCATGTCATTATGGTCAGCGTTTACTTTGAGGAGGCAACTCTTCCCCAGTTACATTTTGAGTCCCTCCCAACCCAAAGGGTGCATCTTTCAGCACTATGTCTGACAGTGTTCCACAGCTATTCATAAGTGGCTAACCATTCAGAAGTGGACTGCCTCTCCTTTTCCCTAGTATGTCTGCTGAAACCCTCTCCACCATGAGTGACTCTGCTGGTATTTAAAATACCTGTGGCATAGCTTTCAGTATCACAGCAACATCCAAGCCACCACAGTCTGACAAACTGACCAGAGAGTGGTGGAACAATGACAAGAAAGCCATGTCCATTGTAACCCCCCTCCATTAGATACTCAGGAATCCCTGTATTTGTTTGTTTGTTGTTGTTGTTTTCCTGTATTAGTTTTGGAAGGAGCATTTCTTAGGTTCTGAGAGTTCTTTCCACATGTTCTTTAGAGAGGGAACAGGGAGCCATTGTTACTTGGTATCTTTGGGAGGCATTGAATATGTGGCTAAAAGAGGGCTTCGACACTGACCCAAAGCATGTATACTTCCCATCCTAGCTGGTGGAGGCTGAGTGTTCCACCAACTATAAATACCATTAGGACTATGAAAGGGGGCATTTTAGAGCTACATCTAGGCATTCTCTGACCCTGACACAAAAATGGAATGCAATATACAGATTGGTTAACTTACACTTTCCCAAGTCAAACAGTCAGTAGGTTCAACCTTCAGAGCTAGGATCGCAGTTGGGGGTGGGAAGTTTCATCTTTAACCACCAGTATCCCTGTCCTCCAACTCATATTTACCCAAATTTTCTATATTAAATCATACTTTTATCTGAAGATACCAATATTTTAAAACCTTTTTTTTTCTTTTACTTTTAACTCAAAAACCTTCTGAAGTGGTTATATTCTGTTGAGTTTTTATTTTTACAAAATCCTACTTCACCTGATAATCTCAGAATATTCCTCCCTTTCCTCAGCTCAATTTTTGAGGTGCAGATTTACTAAAGAAGCCCTTCTTTTGTTGAAAACACCTGCAAAAAAATTTCACTGAGAAAGCTCAGAAGAGTTCAAACAATTTTTGACACATTTCAAATATGGGCAAAACAGAAAGAAGCACTGTAAGTATGAGAAAGGGGAGGGCTGATTTGACAAGCAAGTAGCTCGTCACAGTTAACAGAGACTAGAGGAGAAGGGAGACCACCATAAATGTACACATGTGTTCTCACAGGACTTGAAGAAGGGTAGAGAGACAGCATCACTTGGATTAGATAATTGTTTCTTTCTTCAGCAGGGTCTCCTTTTGTATTGAGCTCAGTTCTCCTCCAAAACTTTCTAGTTTCTCCAGGTGTGGAATCCCTTGGGTCTCCTCAATTCTCTGGGAAATGGGCAACAAGTGGCGGCTAAGGCAGGTTGCTTCTTCAAAGAGGCACATTGTACCTAGGTAACAACAAATATTTGAGTCACTTCATAAAAAGAGAGTGTTGAATTCCATGCCCTAGAAAGTCCTGCCACTAATGCAACTCTTTCTGGTTCTGTATCTGACCTTCTTAGCTCTTCCCTCCAACTCAAAGCATCACACAGCTAGAAGGGGAAACGCAATGCTTCAAAATACGAGGAATACAAGCAGATGAATAAAAACACAGAACCACTGCAAGTGCCAAAAGGCAGTGTGAAACTAAGGTTTCAACAAGTTTATGCATGATGGGTACCCAAACATTTGGATTTGCATTTGGATTTGGATTTGCATTTGGATATCTGCAAATAAAATTTAGACCAATACTCAAAGGAAAGTAAAAGTTTCTTATATAAAATTGCTACTGATGACAAAACCTGGAATGATCACACGAGCCTGAGAGTAAACAGAGTATAGAATGGAAACATCCTCAGTCACCAAGAAAAAGTGCAAACGTCAACCACCAACTGGAAAATTGATGCTTAAAAATTTCTGTCATTCTTAAGGGCCAGTATTGGAACACTATCAGGAAAAAGGTTCAATAATCAACAGTGCTCATTACAGTGAGATACTCACTGAAGAGCTGAAGCCTAAACTTTGGATTAAATGCAGAGTACTGCTATCCAAGGGTGTTGTCATCTTGCATGATAACGTACATCCATACACCCCTGCCCACACTGTTGACACTTTACAAAAACTTCATTTTGAGTTGTTAAAGCATCCTCCTTACAGTGCTGATCTTGTTCCATTGGACCTTCACCTGTTTGGTCCCCTGAAAACAGCCCTTCAAGGATGAAGAGTCACCTTTGATGAAGAAGTGAAGACAGCAGTGCATTTGTGACTCAAAGCTCAGCCTAAAACATTTTTAAATAGAGGAATACAAAAGCTTGTTGACAGATGGACAAAGTATATTGAAAAGCAAGGAGATTATGTCAAAAAATGATATACTTGTCTTTTCTAAAAGTTGATTAAATAAATTCTTCAGCCAGAGTGGGGATAATTTTTGACTCACCCGCATATGTTTTACATTATAATAAAAATATGCTTATAGAACAGATTGAAAATGTAGGGAACAAGAGATTATTTAAAAAAAAAAAAAAAGACAATAAGATTTGGAAAAGAGGATATAACTTCCAGATATAAAAGAACTGAAATAAAAATTTAATGTATAGGTTAAATAGTAGACTCAGCCAAGAAGTGAATGAATAAAATAAAAGATATATTTAAATAACTTATTCAGAATGCATCCCAGAAAGATGGAAAAATATGAGGGGAGAAATGAAAAACCAGGAGACCTGGTGTGGCATGGCAGGATAACACACTGGACCACAAGGTCGGTTTGAACCACAAGGTTGGAAGTTTAAACCTCACCAGCTAGTCTTTGGAAATCCTATACAAGGTCATTATGAGTCTGAATCGACTTAAAAGCACTTAACAACAAGAACAGAATAGAGTAGGAAGTCTAATGGATATCTTATTGATATTTCAGAAAACAGTTTAAAAGAGATGTTGAAAGACACCAATCTTTAAATTCAATTTACATTTAAAAAAAAAAAATCACAACCACAGATAAAATACCAATGAAAGCCTGAAAGAAAAGAAAGGTTACTTAAAGAGAGTAACATTTGTATAGACTTCCCATTCGGTAACACTGAAATTATATCTTGAATGCTGATAGAAAAACTGCCAACCAAAAAAATGTATATTCAGGAAAACTAACTTTAATAAACAAAAATGAAAGACAGTCAATTCAGAACAAATACAAGTGTACCTCCAAAGGGCTCTCACTTAAACACATTGTAATGAGATGCCTCTGGATGTATTTAAGCAGCAAGATAATGATCTCAGATGGAAGGCCTGAGAAGGTCTAGTGAGCAAATAAATTAGTAAATCTGTGGGGAAATGTAAGCAAATACTAAATGAAGATAAGGATGATGATGCCAAATGTGTGGGATTGTTGTTAGTGTTGTTAAGTGCCATGGGATCAGTTCTGAATCAGAGGGACCATTTATAGGGTTTCCAAAGAGCAGCTGGTAGGTTTGAACTGCTGGCTTTGTGGCTAGCAACTCAGTGTTTATCCTACAACACCACATCAGTACTCCTCATATCTTTTGAGAAGAGAATATTTGCTTCATTTGCACTTTGTTCATGTTAAAAAATCAAGAGTAACTATAATGTTAGACTAAAAATAGTATAACTTTTGAACTAAAAGTGGAAGGAAGGGAAATAAATGGAAATTATATAAATAAAACTAAATCAATCCAAAATGAGGTAAGAGAAAAAAGACAGCAGAAAAAAATTGAAAATTAAGGTGGTGAAATAACTTTTAATACATCAATATTTACAACAAATGTAAATTAATTAAATGCTCCATTAAAGTCTAATAGGGGTTATAGGTTATTATAAAAAAATATAAGGCTGAGAACAAACAAGATGGCAGATCAGGTGGATGTGTAGCAAAGAGCTCCACCAACAACACCCAACCAAGAATACCCGACCAAGCAGTCTCAGGGGATGGTTCCAGAACTCTGAACCACATATAAAGGAATACTTAGAAGGTTGGAAAGCTCACAGCTAGGGGAATTTGTGGCAGAAGCAAGAAATCCATTGCTTTCTAGTCCAGGACGCTCAAGCCGCCATCTTGGGTGAGACCACTTGGGGGAAGGATTGGAGCGGCCACAGACGCCTGGCAGAACCGCTGAGATAAAGGTGTAGACATTCTTTTCTTTTGGTATCTGTTCATTGGTCCCTTGCTGTCTGCACACCTTCATTCTGGTGACTATAGGGGTGCCTGAGCTAGTGGACAACCC